ATATATATCATCGTTCCCATCGATTCATGAATTCACCATGGACTAGAAGAAGCAATTAAAATAGATAAACAAAAGGACAAATTCGTAAAAAAAAGAAAAAGGCCTAAAGCAGATCGCCGTTAGTGTATACCATACTATGGGGGCTCTCGTGGCCTAGAGGTTAAACTGTTCGCCTCTCACTCAAAGGTCCCGGGTTCGAATCCGTGTAGCGACCAAAGTACTTTCTGCCCCCCACCCCTCACCTCCTTTGCCCCCGCCTCTGAGCTCTTGACTCTTTCTTCTGCAGCCTTGGCTCCTTTTTACTGCTGTCTTTCAGCCACACCCCTGAGCTTCTGGTAGAAAGATTATCTACACCTAGCCTTCTCGGACAAGGGCGAATAATCTCGGAGGTCCCGAGTGCAATTTGCGCATGTTGAAGATCCCTTAGTGGTCTAAAATCCATAAGAGTAGGCTTCAGTCGCCACCCGGGCAAAATTCAAAATCAATTATTAGAATTTGAATTTCAGCGAAAAATATTTCTCGACCTCTTCTTGCAAAAATACCACAGCCATTAAGAAACAGTGATTAAAAAAAAAAAAGAACTCATCATTTTGGGCCTAGTACTTTGTACATCTGAACAGCTGGCTGACGATAATGATTATGTAAGGGTACGTTCACATTGCTTTGAAAGATACTCTTTACCAGCAACCCTCAGTGCGTCACTGGAAAACCTGCAGAGAAAGAGAAGTAGGCCTAATGAAGGGCTGACCGCTTTGGGCCTGGTTGTAAAGCTAAGAAGGTTGATACTTGTACAACTTTAACTGTATAAGCCAAGGTAGTAGAGAATCTTTGGTCAGCTGAAAATGTTTAATGTGACTCACAGAGAGGTGCTTGTAATTTAAAGAGTATCTTTCAAAGCAGTGTGAACATACTCTTACATAATAATTAATCATCATCGACAGCCAGCTGTTGTCATTTTTATCATCATAGATCAAAATTCTTTCATCTTCACCATCTTACTAAATATTCATATGACCTTACAGCATGCATCAGAAAAACACAGAGTATGTATCTAGATCTAGCTTAAGTTTGTTATTGTTTATGTTGCTGCTCATTAACACTATGCATTTGATTGTAAGCCTGCGTGTGTGTGCATGTGAGTGTGTGTGTGTACGTTTGTGTGTGTGAGTGAGTGTGTGTGTGTGTGTGTGTGTGTGTGTGTGTGTGTGTGTGTGTGTGTGTGTGTGTGTGTGTGTGATTGTGTGTATGAGTGTGTGCGTAAGGTGCGAACGGGGGGGGGGGGGAGGATTTTTTTACATAAAGGATATTAGATTTTACTGGGTGACTAAGGCAAGCTTCCTACGAAACCCAACCTCTGTCTCCAGCGCTGCGACTTGAGTACCATTCATACGTGACACTGCAATCATTGCTTTGTTTCAGAAAAAGTATCCTGAACCTGAAAAAGTACTAAAACAACACAAGGATGGGACCCAAGAGAAATAGAGGTGCAGCAAAGATGAGCCAGAGAGGGACAGGCAGAGGCCAGGTGGCTGAAAGGCCGAGGTCTCCAACACCACCGACGGCAGAAGATGAAGCCATGTTGGTTTCAGAGCCAGAGCAGCCACAGCATCACCCTGCACGGGGGTGATCTCGCAGACATCACAGCAGCAGCCCACAAAAAACGTAAGAATAAACCCTACTACTATACAACATTGACAGATGCGCAGAAAGAAGAGGTCATTGACTGGCTAAAAGACCATCCCTCTATCTACGCAAAGAGACTGACAGATTATAAAGACTCGCAGAAGAAAGAGAAGCTATGGGAGGACAAAGCTGCTGACAAAGGTGTTGAGTTGGCAGACCTCAAAACCTTTTACAAGTCCAACTGTACCAAGATGTCCCGCATCAAGAATACTGTGGGGAAGTCAGGTTGTGGTGCTGAGACAGTCGAGGACCGGTCTGCCACTGACAAATGGGTGTGGGAGAAGTTATCCTTCATCAAAGACCACATCGAAACTGTGGAACGCAGAAACGTGGTGAGCATCCGTGGTACAGGGAGGGGAACACCAACAACAGCCACAGCTACTGGGCCAACAGTACCTCCACCAACAGAAGACATTATCCAGTCAGACTCTGGGGCAGCTGGGAGACTCTCCACAGAGACTTGAAGCGAAGTCTGATTGAATTTATGTCGGGCAAGAAAGGTGGTCCATCCACCTTTGCCATACATATAGATGAGAGTCTCGCACAGCTTCCTGGGGACATCAAACGGGACACAGAGATCAAGGTCTTGAAAGTGCTACACGAGGGACAAAGGCAGGCTGATGAGCGCCAGGAGATGTTGAAGCAGATGCCCATCTTCCCACTACAGCAGCAGCAACAGTCCGCCCCAATGCAGCCACAACTTCAGCCTTACCTACCAAGCTCCACCAGCATGATGCAGTATCCCCCAAGAATGGTGTCCCACAGTCACCAGTGGCAGCCTCCGCCACCACAGTGGTCGACCCAGCAGATGCCAAGTCAACAGCGCACTGGTGTCTGGGGCTCCCAAGACTGTCTTTATATGAGCAGACAGTACCCTGCCCTGTACCCACAACCACCATCACAACCATCAGTGATCTCCACCAATAACCTGGACCTGGACATGGTAGCAGCTATAACCAGTACACCCATAGCAAGGGCATCTACCAGCTCCCAAGGTTCTACTGCTGCTGACAAGACCACACACTCCCTGAACCTGAGTGACATTATGCGAACAGCCATGATCACTGCAGGGATAACCACCAGGCCACTATCTCCTGTGACCCCTCAGGGAACTCCTCAAGCTCCACCTGAAGATGATGATACCACCAATATGTAAATGTGACATTGGCACTCGAGAATATTGACACTCGTCAGTATCTGCTGTATAAATATATAGGCTATGTGTGTGTGTTTGTCTGTGATTGTTACGTTCCACCGATAATTGTTTAAGTTGGATGCTTTTTGCACATATTGATAACATGTTTCTTAATAATAAAACAGAATATGTCAAATTGAAAAGAAATGCCTTTTATTTTCAAATAAACTTTTTAAAAAGATAGATATAAATGGAAAAGTAGTTGAACAATACAAAACACACAAAATCCATCCCCACCCCCACACCCAACCAAATGAAAAAGAAATAAAGAAAATAAAAATATCAAACATAATACAGTAAAACCTGTAATGTCAGGACCCTGTGGTGACAGGACACCTCTATTCAAAGCAAAAATTTTCTAATGCCAAATTGCTCTTTTCATCTGTAAATTGTCCCTGTGGGGGTAGGACCCTTTAATGTCAGAGCTATTTTGAGATTCCCGAAGAGCGTCCTGTCATAGCAAGTTTTACTGTAATAACAAAAAACAATAACATGAATAATAATCAAAGCATCTTCCAAAGTACATATGAGCAGTTCCAAAAACCTCATCAGCCAAAAGGGGATAAATGTGTCAAAATTTATGCTTTTACACCTTTTCCCGACCTATTTCGTAGATTGTCAGATCAATTTCGACATTGTGATTTCAGTTCGACTACTCAATGAGAAGTGACGTCACGGGATCAAATGACTGTCTTCTGTTGTCTTCTTTGTTCAGTGAGCCATGGTTTGGTCCTGCAGCTCCTAATGAATGATCTTCTCCCTCCTGCTGGTAGGTCAACCTCCCTTTGTCTTTGCTGCTCTTCCTCCGCCTCAAGGGCTAGGATGTAGTTAGACAGTAGGGAGACAAACATCATGTCTTCTTCAGATAGATTATGCTCTGGTACATCTAGAACTTCTGGATCTTGTAGTTCTGCTATCGTGGTGTGGAGTCCAAGATGCAAAGATTTTGCGGATCTGCTCTGGATCAAAAGCGGCTTGAAATCGGCGATCTCGAAATTTTCCAAAGCGTAATACAGCTTAACAATGCACAACAGAGCTTGATAATCGTATCAGAGCGTGATTTAAGGCGTCATAATAGCACCAAAGCGTAATAATGCTTATCAACGCGTGATTTAAAGCGTAACAAAGCATAACAAAGCCTGATCAAATCGGGAAATAATTCATCCCCCAAAGCGTAACTAATTCGTATCAGAGATTATCAGAGCGCAACATTACTTAGAAGATCGTGATATTTTTTTGAAAAGTAAACTAACTAAAATGATGGCGCTTTGCTCACAGATTCAAAGCACGGCATTCGCCGTTGGTGTGAACAGTGTATAACAAAGTGTGTCAATCCTTGATCAAAGCGTCTCAATTCGTGGGAAAGCGTAACAAAGTGTGTCAGATCTTCATGCCAGATCGTAGCAAATCTTTAGACATCTTAACAAAGCGCGTCAAGTGGTGAAAGACCGTGAAGACTGGGGTCCAAACTATTAAAAAATCTTTGTTAAGCTTTCTTACGCTTTGAGTCAAGCTTTGATGAACTTCGTTACGCTTTGTTAAGCTAAGCGCCATCAATAAAGCGCCGTTGGTGTGAACTCTACATAAATGAAAAACAGGTTTTTGCCAAGGTCGAGCAGTCTTGATTTCTCGCAGAACCTTTTGAAGGTATTTTCAAACGAAGTATAGATAGACCTAGTCCGGGAACGTTGCCCCAACCACAACTGAAGTATCTGAACATTTAAAAATCTCTAGCTCTAGAAAGAAATTGAATTCGAAGCAAAAAATGCTTCCTCCCAGTCCCAGCTTGACTCACTCATTGTTCATTGCATGTCGATCCTATATTATATATATTTATTTATTTATGTACAGAGATGCGTGTACAGTAAAACCCTTAAATCAAACAGAATTTTTCTAATGGTGAAGCTTGTCACTGAGAGGTAAAGGGGTTGGCGAATCACCGTGGGTGCTCTTGTGGGCTCTTTTCTTTGTCCCTCCATTGACAGTTTAGCAAAGAAAAGGTATCCAAATGCTAATTACAGCAATCGGTATCGACTACGGGGGTAGAGACGCTGACTGAATTTCGTGACCTCATCAAGGTCGGCAGGGTTGGGGGTAGGGTGGGAGGGAATTGCAACCCACGGGTACACGAAAGAGTAATTTTTAAAAAATTAACAAACAAGTTGTTGGCATGAAGCCATACTCAACTGAGAAAGCAATTATCGCAATGGTCAGCGATTGAAAACGAAGCCATAAATACATGTATATCGGTAGGCCTAACATTATCATCTAGATCTATCCCAAACAGTCGATTTGCCCATACAATACATATAATATGTGTATTTTCGAATAAATGCTTTCGTCTTACCTCCAGCGTTGTAATAATGTAAGGCCTCTTGCCACACCTGCATGCACGGAAAGTTTTAAGTGTGAACGGGAAAACCTTAAAAACTTCGACAGTAAAGAGGTGAAGGTCGTTTTCGTTGTGCGTAGGAAGGAAAAAAACCCATTAAGATTTACCTGGGCGGTTGACGTCTAATCTAGGTCAAAGTCTCTTCAGCTGACTGCTGGGTTGTCATCAAGTGGCTTTGGTTGTCATACTCGAGGGTCAAAAATGGTGGGGACTGGTTGTTTAAGGAATACGGGAGTCAGGAAATTATGTCTGTCCGCCTGACTGACTCTTTGCCTGTCTGTTTGTCTGTCTGTCTGTCTGTCTGTCTGCTATGCCTCTGTCAGTCTGTCTCTCTCTCTGTCTCTGTCTGTCTGTCTGTCTGTCTGTCTGTCTGTCTGTCTGTCTGTCTGTCTC